GTTCCGGAAGTTGAGGGGCATAGGGTGGCGCTTCAGCTCGGAGAAGTCTTCTGCTTCGACCGAAGCACGGAGGGAGGGTAAAGGAGGGGGGGGGGTCCGGCAGGGATGGAGAGAAAGAGGAAGGGAGAGAAGGCGGGGGTGTTGGGGAGAGAGGGAGGGAGGGAGGCATGTACAGTTCGGAATCAACTGGCTTGTGTGTTGGATTTGGGTCGGAGCACAAGGAGGGGGGGGGCGCACAGACGAGATAACACGGCACACCAAAATAATCCTGCAGCGTGGAAAACACCCGGGCGGGCAGCGAAGCACTACGTGAGTGCGCGCCGTTGCTTCTCCCCCCTTCCTTTTGCTTTGGCGGCCGGAAATATAACTCCTCCGACAGTCGGAGGGCAAAAAAAACACCCACAAAGACATCAGTATTTCCACGTCAGTTCTTCCCCTCAGATAGCATTGGGTTCAAACAGCAGCGGCATCCCCTCCCACGAGGGTCGGTGTTGCCACCCCTCGTGAATAGGAAGGGGAATTAGCGTACCTTCATCTCGTGCATACGACGAGCGACACCATCAGCTTTGTTGGAGAACAACCGTGCGAAAATACATCATTGCAGGGCGGGTGGGTGGTGTCTCAACAGAGCACTCTCTTGTGTCAGTTTTCCTGTGGAAACAAGGGTTTGCTATTGAAGATTGAGACGGCGCACCTGACTGTCTCAATATTGCCTCTCTATTGTGTGACAGCACTATGAACGATTCTATCGTTTCCCATCTCCGTTCCTCACAATACTCGCTCATACATACGCCAGCTTAGCCTCCTCCCCCATGGCGCCCCATAACATGTTCCCGCCAGGACACGGCCTTGAGTTTCCTTTTTTCGCTCGCGCTTGAGACTCTAATTGGTCAGCCAGTTATGTAGCGGGGTCGATGCAAAGCAACAAGATACACACACACACACGCAGGGGATCCGCAACGCCCCCCCCATCCCCCCATCCCCCACCTGTATCGAAGAAGTGCACCGTGTCCCCCGCTGCGACGGTGGCGATCTTCTTATCCCACGACATCTCCAGGTCCATCACCGCCCCCGCCACCTGCACCTTTCGAATCTTCTCCCCGCTCCGAACATCCCACACCCTAACAAACCCGTCCGCCGACCCCGTCAAGACGGTGTTGGGGTCCTTGCCCCACCTCGCCTTCGAGATTACTCGTGAAACCTTTGGTGTTTCCTCTCCCCCGGGAAACACTGTGATCTGCACCGGGGGGGGTGGACCGGGGGGGGGGGTACTCATAGTCGTTAGACCATTGACCTCGCAACAAAACAAATTGACACACAGCAGCAGCAGCAGCAGCAGCAGCAGCAGCAGCAGCAGCAGCAGTAGCGGAGGAACACTTTCGCGAAAAACAACTTGCCTGTAGTTTACCTCGCTTGTTCGAACGGAAGTCGCACACACAGCGCCATGCCTACATAGTCGCCATCGTCCACTCTCTGCAACTACATACCGCAGCCAATGATACCGGACGACCACTTTTCGCGCACAACAACCTGCCTAGTTTTACTAACCTCGGTTGGGGGGCTCCCGGGGGACGCTGTGTCGAAGATCCTGAGAATGCCCTCGTGTCCGGCCGTGGCCAGCTTCGACCTGTCTGCGGCGAAGTGCACCGTCTTGACGATGTGTTTGTGGACGAACTCGTGGACCTGATTCCCGGTGACGGCGTCCCACAACCGAGCCGAAAAATCCGCGGACGCTGTTTGTTTTTATGAGCGAGAGATGGGGGGGGGGGGGGGGGGGGGAAAAAAGCAAAACCAAA